TTTGGGAAAAAAATCTTATTTGTGACAATTTGTCTTTGATCAAATGTGCTCATAAATATCCCTAACAGGTGTTTATGATATTGTATGTTAATGATAATAGGATGTAATTGGAGGGTAATACATTGAATATTATACATTGAATTTTATACAATTGAAAAGTAATTACAATTTTAACATGCAGTAAAACAGTGGTTTATGTAAATTTATACTGTTTAGTTATCTTTCTTTTTAACCATTTTCAATTAGACTCCTCAGGGAACTGTATGATAATAAGTAGCAAGTCTATGTTTCACACCTATGCCCAAGCAGGAGCCCTCAGGCTCTGTGCAGTGCTGTGCTCTATACATCCATTTTAGATGTCTTGCTGGCGCCGTGCTGTCCTAGCACTGTCTTTCTTGCTGCATTAGTTTTCTGCTATCACGTTTTACGTTAGAGTTTTATTTGCCCTCAAGCTCCCTTTCCTCTCCATAGCAGCCGGAATAGCTGGCTGCAGAAAGCAGGCAGCTACAGACCTAACTACTTTGACAGAAGACAAGCATTTTGCAATTTATTAAGTGCTAATTAATCTTTATTTCTCAAACATATATTTGTTTTCTAAAAAAAACATTACCAGCAGTATGCTACTGGAATGGTTTCTAGTTTTACGTGTTACTACAGAAAGGAATAATTCTAATGTAGCTGAAATGGAAGAAAGTGATGGGAAGCTGTCTTTAAACACAGAGCCCTTTGAGGATTAAATAGGAGGAAAAAGGTTTTTTTCTTCCTTTCCTCAGAATCTGCACTCTGATCCTTCCCTATGCAGAATGCCATCTTAATTTTATGTCAGGTTTAATTGAAATAATAGTATGTCTAGTCATGAAGACTAGATGTGTGGATTACAAAAATGGTCTTCTGAGACACCCGAAACTGACATAAACTACCTTAGATAATTAAACAACATTAAAGTTAAATATACTTAAAAATGACCGAAAATTTAAATTGCAGCTGTCGTTTTATTTATTCTTTCATTTGCTGAGTCGTTATTTTCAAGATCCTGTGGTTTTGCTCCGCACAGCTGCTTCTGGTCTAGTTTGGGGTAGCCCAGAGGAAGGCGCAGGGACACTAGTGGGCTAATGTTTCTCAGCTCGGGAACACTTGCTTGACTGCTCTTTCCGTCCCTGCCCGCACCTCCTTCCCCAAGTGCAAAGTCCAGAGTGGTTCTGAAATGCTTTTCTTTCCTACTTCAAAACAGCTCTTTCTGTGCGGATACAGTATTTGGATGGCACATGCTCCGTCTTGATTGCTTCCTCCAGGCAGGTTTTCATACCAGGAAATCACCAGCATTCCTTCTCACTGGTGACATTCTTGAGTAAGATGCGAGATAGTTTCAAGGTGTTTTAAAAACCTGTGCAGTTTTAAAGATTAGGTAAGGCATCTTGGAGGTTAAAAAGAGGTACTGATTTGGTCTCTCTCTTCCCTTCCTGTCTAAATAGCATTGTAGATTTTAATGAAGTCATTTTATTTATCCCAGTTATTTACTCTTCAAATTCTTATGGTTTTCCTGGCAAATAGTTGAAGTTCAAGAAAAAGAAAGGTGACTAGCATTTGGCTGTTCCTCCACCCCCCTCTGTTAATGCACTCATGTTGGGGAATTCACGGGATTGAGCAAGCACAGTCACGACCCCACTGGCCATTCTCTCTTTATCTGCATCACTTGTATGTGCGTCAGCTCCTCACTACATCCTTTTCCAAATGCTGTGAGCCCTCCTTGACCCTCCATACCTCCTGCCAGGCACAGGTCCCAGTCGGTCTTGGGTGTCAAACTTTCTCTGAGTCCATCAACGCAGTGGCTGCTGTGCTGCCTACGCTAGGCGGCACCCCACTTCCTGCAGCAGCACATCTCCCCAGTCCTTCGACCCTCAATCCTGGGTGCTGAACAGGAAGACAAGTCAGTGGTCAGAGACTGTCCTGACCCTCAAGCTTCCCTGTGGGAGATGCAAAGAACGAGCTCGTTTCCCTGGACATCGTAAGCTTTCCACCAAGCTCATTTAGCCTTTTCTCCCAATATCACAGCATCTCAGTGTTTTAGACTTCCAAATTAAAAAAAAATATAGGTCTCTCTCTCTCTCTCTCTCTCTCTCTCTCTCTCTCTCTCTCTCTCTCTCTCTCACACACACACACACACACACACACACACACACACACACACACATATCCAGTGTGTACTGCTATTAAGAATGTATTCTACCTTCTTTTTTGTTATCAGGAGAAAGTTTTGGCAAGTTTATTGACTTGACTAAAATCAGAATTTCAAGTGTTGTCTTCTTTTAGTATGTAAGTAAAAGTGTACTCCTTAATCTGTAAGCTTTTATCTGCAATAACTTATAGTCTTTATGTAACTATAAGCAGCTTAAGCAGCCTTGTCTCTGCCCACATTGCCACAAATTATTGTTACTGGCATCTGAATAAACTCTAAGTTGAGGAATAGGATTTTTTATTTTGTAGTGTAGTCTGTAGATGGTGACTTCTGACATTTAGTGTAACACAATGTCAACCCATTTGTGTATCCTGTTTCACATGTCTTCTTTAGTGTGACCTTTTCATAAACCACCTGTTCTACTTAGTACTTACTCATTAAGTCATCCATATGCAGGAGAGATGAGCATCTAGTCAGCAAGGAAAATACAGAGATTGAGGGGTCCTGCTTCCCTCCCTCCCTCCCTCCCTCCTTGTGTGTATTGTGTATGGTGCATGCATGTGAGTGTGTGCGTGTATGGGCCTGTGTATTCTTATGCATAAGCCTGAGCAGGACTCCAAGTGTTCCTCTCGTCTTCTCGCCTTATTGCCTTGGACTGGGGCTCATCATATGGCTAGCCTAGCTAGCCAGTGAGCTCTTGGTATCTTCCTGTCTCCATTCTCCAGTGCTGGTAACAAAGGTTCGTGTGGGTACTGTGGGTTCATACTTAAGTTTGCATGCTTGCAGCCCAAGCACTCCTACTGAGCCATCTTCCTAGCTCACTTTCCTACTTTTTTCTTCTTCTTCTTTTTTAATTTATAAAAGTTTATTAATTTATAAAAGTTTCCATTTCCGCCCCTCCTCCCAACACCCTCCCACTCCCCCCACTCCCTCTCCTCCTCCCTCTCCATCCCTAAGAGCAGTCAAGGTTTCCTGCCCTGTGGGAAGTTCAAGTTCCTCCCCCCTCCCTCCAGGTCCAGGAAGGTGAGCATCCAAACAGACTGGATCCCCAAAATCCAGTATATGCAGAGGAAACAAGTCCCAGTGTCATTGTCAATGACTTCTCAGAAAGACCCCGTGCCAGCCACATTCAGAGAATCCGACCACATTCAGAGAATCTGGTTGGATCACGTGCTCGTTCCTCTCTCTCTCTCTTTCTCTCTCTCTCTCTCTCTCTCTCTCTCTCTCTCTCTCTCTCTCTTTCTCTCTCTCTCTCCCTCCCCCCCCTCTCTCCAACCTTTCCACCTCTATCTACCACTGTCTTTTGGGGCATGCCACCCTTTTCATCAAGTTACCGTATATACTTCTATACTTCTGTCTATACCAATACTACAGCAGAGCCCTGGGGCAGCCAGCAGAACCTCTAGAGCTAGCCTGTATGGATTCAGAGCTTGCCTTCACTAGAAGATTACTGCATGGCCTCAGTTCCACAGTGTAGCACTGGCATTGTCACTAGGAGGATAGAATGAGTAAAAGTACAGAAATGTTTAGAACAAATTACCCTCCACCACCTCCTCCATCATCATCAAACAATTGAAACCCCATGCTTTGAAGACTCGTGGGACCTTTCACAGCTTCGCTGGTGCGTTCTCAGAGCCCTGCTGTTCAGGCAGAATGGAGTGCATCTTCTAAATCACCGTGTTTTCATTCTTCCTCTTCAGCCATGGCATGCCTTGTCTCCTCAGCAGAACATACATGCTTCTTTATGATTATAATTAGATCCAGGTTCTGTAAAGGTAAAGTGAGGGCAAGGGAAATTTTTATTATACCTGAAATTAATTTGTATTATTACCCATATGAATAATGTGGGAATATTTTAGCCACTCCTAATGTTAAAGAAACTGAAACGTCTTTTCCTCTATTAAAAGTTGTCTTAAAATACTGTTCAAGCTTATTTTGTTTTCCAGAAGTTTATGGAAAAGAACATTTATTTCTTTTACAGTTTCTATTGTGTGCTTAGTGTAAATCATCCGATGTGTTTCTAATATATACCATAGGCTATGTCTAGTGTGCTGTATTAATTTCTAAGCAAACATTTAAAAGTTATATAAATTTATTTTAAATATTTGTGAAATGTAAACTTTTTCCAGAGTTTGACTGGCTTTCTCCCTATCATCCAAACTGATGAGATCCTCTTTGATTTTTTTAAAGTCTCAATGCTGTATGTTACTGGTCTCTGCTGCTAACGTAGGAGGGAATCCAGGATGCACATTTTCACTACCTTGTTTTAAAAAGTGTGTCTGGATTGTCTGTCATGATATGCAGATTAACGCACTATCTGAATAGTAATGTAATTTTTACAGTTCGTTTTTAAGTAACTGCACCTCATGTGATAGTAACTATATGCTATTTACCCTGCACATTCCATTGTAGCCTGTTTATATGTGGGACATCTGACATATTTGCTTTATATATTAAAATGTATCACAAAAATGTGTTTGTACTTAATAACTATTTTTCCTAAAAATTATGACTTAGAAGATGTTCACATACTAAATAATTCTAAGTATACTTAGAGCTGTAACCAAACATATGTTATTGAACACCCAAATATAGCCTCCTTACCACATTTCTCAATGTGATGACATAGTAAATTCAGGAAAAGAAGTATATATTTCTTTTCCTAGAGCTTATTTCTGGATGGTTAACCAAATACATGAAAATGTGTTTAATCTAATGGACCATATCTCAAGTAATAGTTTTTTTTAAAGGGGGGGTTTAGATTGTGATTGGCAATGGGAAATAATTGATCAGTACCTCTTTTTTTCCTAATTACCGTGGACAGGACGGCGATTCCTTTGCCATCAGATGTCTTTCTGCTTGACCGAGTTGCACCTGTGGTCCCTGAGCGGCACCCTCCACATCGCGGGTGAGTGAGCGCTGGGTGTCGACTCCTCAGTCTCCTTTGCTCTCATCAGTGAGCACCGACAAAGTTAGCCCTGCATTGCCAGACAGAGGTGCAGTCTCTGGTTTTCATCCTTAATGAAAAACTGGGTGTTGAAAAAAATTCTTTTAAATACTCTTATTAACTTATTTTGGCTTGAGTTATGAAATTAATTCTACTGGTCTAATAGCTCTTCCTTCTAAAGAGGTGTGCATGTTCAGTTTTTATTAAGCTTGTTCAACGGTTACAGTCATACATTTTTTGCAGACTAACTCATGAAAAGACATTTCTGTTTGATATTAAAATCATTTCAAACACGGAGCTGAGATCTACAATTATTTGTGTTCTTTGTGTTTTGTATTTCTTGAATGGAAATAATATAGCTGTTTGAACAATGCTTATTTTAGGATAAATATATATTTCATTAGAAAACAACTTATAAAATGTTTTTCTACTTTAATTATCTGGACTAATTTTTATATTTTGAAATACACTTTTACTTATACTACTTTTATATCTTTATCAAGAAAATGGTTTACCGTGCAAAGTACTGTTTCTTAATATTGAATATACAATAATAAGTGAATACCATGTTTTCATTTATTTTTTCTTAGAATATATTGAGATGGAATTTATTTTACACATTTGTTTTCTCCCAAAATGCTTTTAAAAGAAGATTAATTGAATTAAAGGTGCATAAACACATAAAACCTGAGATTAGGAAAAGGACACTTTGGAAATAGAAGATGTGAAGGAATTAACAGAGCTAAAAATCTGAGTATCATTTGCCTAGAGAAAAAAATTCCAGTGACAGCTCATTTGTATAAAACCTCAGAAAGGCAGAAACTTGAGGAGCACGTATTGCAGAAGATGGGGGTGTGGCCCCAGGTTGACAACAGGAGGAATGCGTGTCTCCATAAAATAATGAGACACCTCCATGATGTGGACATACTTACTTAAGGAGGCTCTAAACTCTAGAACGCCAGAGCCACAGAAAGAAGACCCACTAAGCTGCAAATGAAGGAAACTGAGGCTGCCTTGCTGACCGATGAGGTCCTCCTAACCCATCTGCGCCCGAGACTGTCTTCTCACCTTTGTGTATTTGCCAAGGAAGAAGGGACTCGAGAATAGAATTTTCTCCTGGGGTAACTGAGAAAACATCCACCCTGATATTCTCGGGGTCTTTGGTGAAATGCTCTGGTCTCTGGCTGGACAGTGAAACCTCCCTCAGGTATGGGGAGCTTCAGTAGCTTTCTAGAGCCTCCCTGGCTGGGCAGTGAAACCTCCCTCAGGTATGGGGAGCTTCAGTAACTTTCTAGAGCCTCCCTGGCTGGACAGTGAAACCTCCCTCAGGTATGGGTAGCTTCAGTAGCTTTCTAGAGCCTCCCTGGCTGGACAGTGAAACCTCCCTCAGGTATGGGTAGCTTCAGTAGCTTTCTAGAGCCTCCCTTGTCAGAGCTCAGCAATCATCAGGTATGTGAGGATTTCCTACAGGAACGAAGACAAGTACTAAAAAGCAAACAGGAAGAAGGAATTCTGGAGAGAATAAGATTATGTAGGAAGGGAAGAATAAATCACAAACCTAAGGAAAGAGCTGAATCCATGAAGCAAAAAACCAGATACAGAAGCTTTAGAACACACTGATGTTAAACTGATCTTGAAAATTGAGAGTATATCACAAGGAAAAAAAAAAGGAAAGTGAAAAAGTTATCTCAGAAAATAGTTTTCTTCTCTTTTCATACCCATGTTTCTTCTCCGTCTGAATGATTCTTATTGCTTCCGTGTCTGTAGTTACCCAGCCAGTCCCTGCTTAATAGCAGTCTAGCACGTCTGTGTCCCCTCTTCCCTGCGGAAATCCTTCTGACTCCATGTGGTCCTTGGCACAAGTTAGATGATCCCCACGTCTTTCTTATCTTTTCTTCCAATACTCCACACCAAGCCACTATGCTCTGTGTATGTACTGTGTACCTGCAGGGGCTCTAACATACTGTGTTACTTCTTGGACAGGTCTCCTTATGTAGATGCCCTTGTCTTGCTTACATGCAGTCCCACCCATCCAGGTACAGGAAGGTCAGATCTGTGCACAGAATTCCTGGTCCCTTATGATCTTCCTAGCTCTGTTCTAGAGCGGTAGATATATTGATATATGGAATGATATTATAATTATAAACTGGAATGTTTTAATAGGAGATATTGCTTGCATGTATAATGCCTGCAGTTCTTAGCTTATAGCTTTAAATAACAAGAAACTTTTAGAATTGAAGTGTAACATATGTACTGAAAAGTGTACAGATTGTAAGAATATGCTGTGAACTATCAAAAAGTGAGCACATTCGTGAAATCACTACTCAGCTTAAGAAAATATTGTAAGTGCTCAAGGAAGGGGTCACAGTCTCCCAGTTTCCCAGTCAGTCTTTAAACAACAGACATCCAATTGCGTTCTTTAAAATCATGTCTTAATTTCATAATGAATAAAGTATAGCTTTAGTATGAGTACTAATATGAACATGTGAGTATTGAGTAAACTCATTTACATGAGTATATCAAGTACACATGACTCATTGTTATGTATTTGCAGACTCAATTATAGCAGTTTTCCTTGTGTTTCCCTTGGTTTTGTCCATCAGTTTGACAAAGTTTGGGAGGCAGGCAGTCACTAGGGGGCAGCCTGTACTGCTTCCACTTCATGAGAGACAGTTGTATCCTCCTTATGTTAGTAACTGAGAATTATTTTTGCATGGAAGAAAACAAGTGTTACTTCAATAAAGGAGATATTTCATTATTCATAGACATGGAAAAATTATTCCGTTCTCTTGTTTAAATTGCAGGAGCAGAATCCCTTGGTTAAATCAATCCCAACATCTGCGAAGTCTCACTTTTTCTCTTACCTAGCCCAGCAGAGCATCTGAATTTGAATAGGTTTGGAAGCCTTTTGACTCTAAACAAGTTTCAGATAATAATTTATCCACAGCTCCCGGTAATCCCCCCTTTCTTCTTGCAGATTTCCTCCCAAATGCTATAGGATGGGAACTAGACTTCTGAGCTAAATTGGAGAAAAGCAAGCCACAGCTCGGGATCCAACAGCTAGGGCATTTTCTTCCATCCACTGACTTCATTTGGCATTGCTTAGTGGCAGTTCCTTTTGGTAGCGCCCTGTGAAAAATATCAGAGGAAGTGTGAAAGAGAAAACTTGGTCTTCCTCGATTCAGTTCTTCACTAATCTTCCCCATGCCATTCTAGTTCTGTGTGTTTCCTTATGCCATTCTGATTTTCTCATTAGATCGATAAACTTTCCAGTCTCTGCATATCCCGAGAATAGATGAACCCATGTCCAGATGCTTTTGAGCTATTTTATTTCTAGTAACATAAGGAGACTGTTTCTGCTCTCCTCCCCACAATTCCCTCTGATATAGTATGATTTGGCTTCTTATTCTCCAGAACTTTTTTTTTACCATAATTTAATGTTATTTCTTCCTTTCTATAGATAGAGACATCGGCGTCTACCAGTACTATGACAAGAAAGATGCTCCAGGTAAAGTACTCACCTATTCTATTTAACTGCTTTTATAAAGGAAATATTCTGAGCAATGAATTAGCAACATTAAAAACTCTGTATTTATGTCTTAGATAAAGTCCAAACTTTAAAGAGCAGTCACTTCAGGTTTTTTAAAGAGAAAAAAAAATGCTAAGGTTGATATCTATCTGATCTATCAAAAAATAAAGCAATGCTGAAAAAAGGCTGTAGAATAACATGAAAATGTTCATTTTGTTGCCGATCAGCCTGATAGCAGGACAGTCTAGTCACATTTATTTATTGGTGTCCCAGCAGAGGGCATTGTTAATGCACTGGTCCCCGTGATGCTGGTCTCCCGGATCCTCACCTGATATCTGAAATAGACATTTCTGAGTGAATGATCAATTTTCTTTATCTGATTAATCCTGTTAATCCCAGAAGTTTTATGATGGGCCGAAAGGTCTTTCTAGCTAGAGTTACTTCCTGTTCTGTTCCTCATTGAAGTGGGGGCTGTGTGAGCATCCTGTGCTTAGCATGGCAGCTAATCGGCTGACTTCAGAGCTCTGCTGACAGACTGCAGCAGCTTCTCCCTGGGCTCGGTGCAGTTCCCTTTCCTGTCTGATGAGATTGGGAGCTCAGAATATTGGCCCACCTGTTGTGCTGTATAAGCCTTTTCACTGTGCATTAAGGAGATGGCTCCTATGACATGCAAACACACATTGTGACATTCTCTCTCAACTGTCCTTTTAAAAGCTTAGCATCGTTCTAATCTCAGTGTCTGCCGCAATCTTTTGTATGTGCCCACTAAAAATATAAGATACTCTAATAAGAACAAATTCCACTTTTCTCCTTTTCATCTCTCCTTTGCCAGTGTCAGCAACAGAGCATGGTAACTTAGAAGAAAAACAAAGGCTGGCGGAATGTAAGTTCACCTTGGATATTTTTGAAATTATTGCAAAACAGTGTTGTGTTACAAATTAACTGTTTCCTGCACAAACTGTAAATGCTATGCTGTCCACATTTCTTATAATTACTAATTCACATTGTTTATTGTTATGAACTCATGAATAATTCTATTTGCTAGACTTTTCTAATTTAAATCATTAAAATCTTTACTTTGTACAATTTTGGTAAGATATGTGCTTAGGCAAACAAAAACTTAAAATTAAGTGTATTTTTATTTAATATTTTTAAATAAAATAATTTATCTACAATGTTTAATTGGCTAACAAGATATAAATGTTCAAGGCATACAACATGATGACTTGCTATATCAATCATGCAAGTTCTATGGTAAAATTTATTATATCACTTCATTTTTGTGTGAGAAAATGATTGTAAGTCATGCTTAAATTCTGATAACATCTATTTTTTATGTTTTACCTAAATTGTTAACATATTTCATTACTTATTTTTAACATTGTGTGTGTGTGTGTGTGTGTTTGTATACACAACATGTGAGTGGAAGTCAGGGGGATCAGTTCTCTCCTTCCACCATGTTGTTTTCAGAGCTGAACTCAGGTCTCCAGCCTGTGCAGTGACCTCTTGCGCCTTCTGGGCCGTCTTGCCAACCCTGTTACGTCATTTTAATAAAGTGAGATTGTTCTATCCACATTTTATTTAGTTGTAAGTCTGGAAGATATAATATGTTGTATGTATAGTGTAACTACAGGCTGACATGGTTTTAGTGGGTTAAAGCTAGTGTAATTTAAAGTTTTATTTGGAATATAGCTAGAGCTGAAAGACTTTCCTTTTTTTCCTTATTTAAGTGATTGGACTGACATTTAATTTTTAGAATACTGCATTAGTATCTGCAACACATATCTTAAAATTTGTACATATGTTCTACACATCAAAATTATGTCTATTGAGCCAAATTAACTTGCTGAAATAAGATACATAGCAATTTCTGCTTTTAAATTTAAATATCTATATATGTTATATATTATTTGTATATGCACACACGACATATATATTCATATACACAGTTCATTTTTAGAATTATTAATTTTGACACTCTAAAGATGAGTTCATTTCCCAGTGAGTTTAACATGTTATTAGTATTATTCTTTTACCATGTGTATGTGGTGGGTGCTGGAGATGGAACCCAGGGCTTCACACATACTGGGCAAGTACCTTATCACTGAGTTAGACCCCTGCCCCAATTTTATTAATTTTTAAAACAGATATAGTTTTAAACTACCTTTGTACCTCTGCTATATAACCTTTCAGTTGAAGTTATTTAAAATAAATTAAAGGTGTATAGTTACTGAATTGTGGCATGGATTTTAGAATTATTTTTTCCTTTTATTAAAAATAGATTTTTTCTCATATAATATAGTTTTTCCTCCCTCTGTTCCTGCCAGTTCCTCTCCACCTCTCTTCCCATCTGAATCCACTCTTTCTGTCTCTCACTAGAAACAAACATGCTTCTAACAAAATAATATAAGATAAAGCAAAAGCTAACACAACAGCATTGGAGAAAACAAACAAACAGAAGGAATAGACCCCAAGAGAAATTACAAGAATCAGAGACCTATGCATTCGCACACTCAGGAATCCCATAAAAACACTAACCTAGAAGCTTTATATACACTCTGAGGACCTGGCACAGACCCATGCAGGCCCTATGTGTGTGCATCATCAGTTTCTGCGAGTTCTTATGAGCTTTGCTCATGTTGATATAGGAGCCTTGTTCTCTTGGTGTCCTCCATTCCCTTGACTCTTAGACATTTTCTACCTCCTCTTCTGCTGGTATCCCTGAGCCCTGAGGAGTGATTTGATGGAGACATCCTATTTAGGGTTGAGTGTTCCAAGGTCTCTCACTTGAATACTGTCTGGGTATGGGTCTCTGCATCTGTTCCCATTTGCTGCAGGAAGAAGCTTCTCTCATGATGGCTGAACAGGACACTTATGAGTATAGCAAAATTTCATTAGGAGTGCTTTATATTATTTTTTTATTTTTATGTTTTCAAAAAACAGTCGTATTTAGCTGTCCCTGGGTCCCTGGGATATCTAGTCTCAGGTTCTTGGTCATCGAAACAATATCAGGAATGGGTTCCATTAAGTCAAATGGAGGACATTAAGGCCTTGAGCCAAATCAGATATTTGTTGGTTACTCCCACAAGCTCTGTGCCACCATTGCACAAACATATCTCTTAAATAGGACACCATTATAGATTAAAGAGTTTGTGGCTTAGTTGGTGTTTACATTTAAGAGAATTATTTCAGAGAACATTCCTAATGCCTATTTGTTAAAACTTTTTTCTTGAGCTGGAGTATATAGTGCTTTGGTCATGTTTAAATTAATTTCCCTCATATTACTTTTATGTTCTGTTTCTTTTCTTACCACATTTAACTTGTTAATGAGAAGTTTCAGGACCGAGTTGGCCACTTGGAGAAGTTGGAATTTCTTTTGGGTTGAACCTTGACTGTTTTCATGAAAAAAATTACTTAAATTATAAAGAGCAGGCCATTTGCTACTAACTATTGCTAGATCCCTTGGCTTACCAAAACTTGTCAAGGGTTCTCTGAGTCTTGTTGGTTGTCATCACAAAATTATAACCAGGGAGATTAGTTTGTGGTAAAAATCTGTTTCTGTAACAAAGCCTTTTAAAAGACTGTCATTTAGCGATAGAGATGAAGTCCACTTCCTCTCAATTATGGGGTGTCTTATTCTAATCCTCTAAGGCACACTGCTAAGCAGAGGATCCTTATTTAAATCATGTTTAACTAACTGTTGTACATGTTTTATTTGCCAGCACGAGATTATCCTTGGACACTCAAAAACAGACGCCCAGAAAAACTTCGAGACTCACTGAAAGAGTTGGAGGTATCTTTCAAAAGGTTTCAAAAATGGGAACAAACAAATCTGCTTTAGGTCATCTTTCAACAGCTGTAATTTTCATAAAGGACCAGCTCTCCTGGTGATGATGGCTTTGCTTTTGTCCAGAGAGAGCTTCCCACACAGTTGCGTCTTTGTGTGGCTTCTTGGTCACCTTCCCTTTTTCTCCTTTCTTGAAATCAGAAGCGCTTTAACTGATGATGACAAAGTCCGTAGCCAACTGCACTCTCTCTTTCTGTTGTCCTTCAGGAGCTGATGCAAAGCAGTCGGTGTGTGCTGAGCAAATGGAGGAACAAATACCTCTGTCAGGTAAAATGGTTTGACAAGCGTTTGCAGTGCTTAGCCAATGGAGCTGAAAGCTTTGTAATAGTTGGTATTCTTGTGTTTTGATAGATAATGGAAAAGCTTCTCAGGAGTGGATATTTCATAGTTTGAATTTTAGTCATTCTAGAGTGAACATTAGGCAGATTGACCTGGGCCACCAAGCTGCCTCATTAGCCAGTGTGGTTGTGTTGACATATTGCAAACACTAATAAGACTCCTTGCAGACAGTGCTTTCTACTTGGGTTTACCTTGGTGTAATATTATATATCCACTGGCATAGTTTTTAAATGACTATAACACAATAGGACAAAAACATGTTCAGTATAGTATTCTTACAAAGGTTTATGAATACCATGCTTATGGAAAAAAACAAGCAAATAAGAGTTAAACCTAATTTAACCAGAGAGATAGTCTTGCATGTTGACCCTCTTAGGCTATATGTGGTAGACACTAGTCATATGTGGCTATTTTTAAATAAAGTTAAATTTTCATTCCTCAGTTATAGCTCTCCCCAGTTTAAGTTCTTGGCAGTCAAGGATGCAGAGATAGACCATTTCCACGGCAACAAGTTCTATTGGACAGCCCTGTGCTCAAAAGGCCTAGATTTAGAACATAATCGGGACATCATAATTAACACATATTGACTAAAAAATAAGGGACAAACAAGTGTCTTAGCCTTGCTGATACACTTAAAAATAACATTTGTCTGAAAAAAATTTACTTGCTTTTCATTAAAAGTATAATTATAGTTATCTGTGTACTTACGTTGTATCACTACTACCAATAATTATAATTTATTATTGGAATCAAATGTACAGTTTCAATTTTATTTTTTGAGTTTTCCATTACAAATTTTTAAAATGTGTGAACATTCTTGTTTATAGGTCAGGCCCATTTTTCTATCCATAAACCTCCTAAAATCAAATTCATAATAATTAAAAATATATCTTAATTTACCTCTTTAACAGCCTATTTTAGTTAATTCTAGTTTCCCTCTTAGAAAATTTGTTTTGAGCTGGACTGTGGTGGTGCACACCTTTAAATCCCAGTACTTGGGAGACGAGGCAGGTGGATTTCTGTGAGTTCGGGACCAGCCTGGTCTACAAGAGCTAGTTCCAGGACAGGCACCAAAGCTACAGAGAAACCTTGTCTCGAAAAAACAAAAACAAAAAAAAAGAAAAGAAAATTTGTTTTTTCTTTTTTAGTTTTGTCTAAACTGTCCTCCCTTTAGTGATGGAGGTTAGCTGACCTTGTCAGCTGGCATGGATTTCTACTTTCTAGATTGTTTACAAGGCTGAATGAAAAATTTCAGAACCGTAACCCTTCTAAAATTCTCCTTAGAACACCCTTCAAAAAGATGGCGTTGTTTAAAATCGTGACTTACTTGCATAGAAATATATAATGAGACCTTCAAGCTTGAATATCAGATGTACTCCAGTAAATTTTAGATTTAGTTAAGCTTAAACTGCTCACTGCAAAACAGGCTCAAAATTATTTGACTGGAGGGCAAGCCTGCCACCTCCATTAAGAGGTGTGCCTCATGGCCTCACCCTTCCTATCACCTGGGCTGAGTTGGAGCACGTCAGGCATCTTACAAAAATGCAGTGGAGCACCCCAGTTAGATGATCATTTTTAGATAGATTTCTTTGCTTTTAATTTAATGACAAGGTTTTTGTGTGTGGTTCATATGTTACCGAAAGGATATCGTTCATTATTGAATTAATTCAGCTCAGAAAAGAAACATGTTTTAAATGATAGAATATATGCAAAATTGCTTTTGTAATTTACAATAGACAGCCCTGCTGGCTTTGACTGGTACGCCAGTTGTGGAGGCCTGTTTCCACGGTGACCAAAGGTCAGAGAGTTGGAACTTACCTCTAGTCCTTCCAGGTTATTGTGCTTCTACCCTAACAAAGGTCACACCAAGACCCGGAGCAGAGAGTTCTGCTCTCTCGAGGGTGAACAGGTGTGGCTAATTGCCAGCCCTTATACTCCAGGAACAGAGAAGTAGAAAAGTCCCTACCTCAAATGAAAGTCTAAGGATCCAGCTAAATTCCTGTTCCCTTAAGGAGATAACTTGGGATTCCACCCAGGGAGTGGTTTGTCTACGGAATGTTTTGGTCTAGGGTGTGGGTGTGACTTGGTGACTTGTTTTGTTCTAGCAACAGAACGTTTAACTGTAGACTTAGCCTGAGACCTTCAGTTGATATATTCATTTCCTTGTATCATGTTAATGCAGTCTTTTGTTTTACTCCTACCTTTTGGGGTCAGGGATATTTTAAGTAGTTGGAAATTAAACGTGGGCAAATTTCAGTACTCATTGGAATGCCCTCCCGATACTATCCTATATGTTTCTCCATTTTATTATTTTCATTCATGTCTTCATAGTCTTTACTATATTTCTAAATCCCCACGCCTCTACAAGAGGTATTTTTATTGAGACTGGTCCTTGACAACCAGTGAGTTTGCTTTGGGAATTTCTAATGGATTTTTACCTAATTTTATGTTCTGTTTTCTTTACTTTTTAAATTTTGTTTTGTTTTGTTTGACAAGATTTCTCTGTGTAACAGCCCTGGCTCTCCTGGAATTAGCTCTGGTAGACCAGGCTGGCCTCGAACTCACAGAGATCCTTCTGCCTCTGCCTCCCGAGTGCTGGGATTAAAGGTGTGCTGTTCTGTTTTATATCTTTGATAGATAAGACTTTTTTAAAATAGACCTTCTACTCACGGCACATTCTTGCTATGACATATTTTCATATGATAACTTCCTCCATGCCCGCAGGTCCAAGTCACTCCTTACACTGTCAGGGCCTTTGGGAGACTTCCTGAAATTATATGTTAGGCAAGAGTTCACTATATCTTTGAAAACTGTATGTGGCTTCCATCCCTAAAGATCTCTAATGTCACAGTAAGTTAAAAATAATTTGGTGGTCAAGCTAGAATTTCAGTTTAAGGAAAGGGCCCTATTAGTCCCCGAGTCTCCCCTTGTACACCATCCAGTGTGGCAGTAAGACGTAGACCTCGAGTTCCTCGAGTTCCCGTGCTTTCCTGTGCATTCAGTCCTGACATGGCACCAGTTGACCTTGAGCTCCAGGGACCTGCTTGCAGCCAGCTGTCTTCTTCTTCTTTTTTTTTTTTCAAAGTTTATTAAATTATGAAAGTTTCCATTTCCGCCCCTCCCAACACCCTCCCACTCCCCCTCTCCCCCTCCTCCTCCCTCTCCAGCCCTGTGGGAAGTTCAAGTTCCTCCCCCCTCCCTCCAGGTCCAGGAAGGTGAGTATCCAAACAGACTGGATCCCAAAAATCCAGTATATGCAGAGGAAACAAGTCCCAGTGTCATTGTCAGTGGCTTTTCAGAAAGGCTCCGGGCCAGCCACATTCAGAGAATCCGGCCACATTCAGAAAATCTGGTTGGATCACATGCTCGTTCAGTCCCAGTCCAACTGGGCCTTGGTGAACTATCATTAGGTCAGTCCCCTTGTATCAGTGGGTGATCGCACCCCTCGCAGTCCTGAGTTTTTTTTTCATGTCCTTCCTCCTTCTGCCCCTCATTTGGACCATGGGGGGCTCAGTCCGGTGCTCCAATGTGGGTCTCCGTCTGTATCGCCATCCATCGTCGGATGAAGGATCTATGGTGATAAGCAAAATCTTCATCAGTATGGTTATAGGCCAAGGCCGGTTCAGGCACCCTCTCTTCTGTCTAGAGAACAGTCTGGGGATCTCTCCTTGGACCTGGGATCCCATTTATAATCAAGTCTCTTGTAAACCCTAAAATGACTCCCTTAGTTGAGATATATTCTTCCCTGATCCCATATCCATCCTTCCTCCCTCCCCCCATCTCAGTCCCCCGAGTTTTCCCCATTCCTCCCCTACTCCCTTCTCTCCAACCCTTTCTCCTTCCAACAACCCTCCCACCCACGCCCCCATGCACCCGAGGTTACCTGGGACTCTTGTCTATTTCCAATCTCCAGGAGGATAAGTACATGATTTTCTTCAGGTTCACCTTCTTATTTAGCTTCTCTAGGATCTAGAATAATAGGCTCAAAGACCTTTAATTATGGCTAGAATCCACTTATGAGTGAATACATATCATATTCCTCTTTTTGGGTCTGGCTTACCTCACTCAGTAAAGCGTTTTCTATGTCCATCCATTTGCATGCAAAATTCAAGATGTCATTATTTTTTACCGCTGAGTAAAACTCTAATGTGTATATGTTCCACACCTTCTTTAACCATTCTTCTATTGAGGGGCACCTAGGTTGTTTCCAGGTTCTGGCTATTACAAATAGTGCTGCTATGAACATAGTTGAACAAATGCTTTTGTGGTATGATAGGGCATCTCTTGGGTATATTCCCAAGAGTGGAATTGCTGGGTCCTGAGGGAGGTTGACTCCCAGTTTCCTGAGAAACCACCACACTGATTTCCACAGTGGCTGTACAAGTTTGCATTCCCACCAATAATGGATGAGAGTTCCCCTCTCTCCACATCCTCTCCAGCATAGGCTATCATTGGTGTTTTTGACTTTAGCTAATCTGACCGGTGTAAAATGGTATCTCATAGTTGTTTTGATTTGCATTTCCCTGATCGCTAAGGATGTTGAGCATGACCTTAAGTGTCTTTTGGCCATTCGAAGTTCTTCTGTTGAGAATTCTCTGTTCAGATCAGCACCCCATTTTTAATTGGGTTAATTAGAGTTTTATTGTCTAGTTTCTTGAGTTCTTTGTATATTTTGGAGATCAAGCCTTTATCTGATGAGGGGTTGGTGAAGATCTTCTCCCAGTCAGAAGGTAGCCTTTTTGTCTTACTCACGGTGTCCTTTGCTTTACAGAAGCTTCTCAGTTTCAGGAGGTCCCATTTATTCATTGATTCTCTTATTGTCTGTGCTACTGGGGTTCTACCTAGGAAGTGATCTCCTGTGCCTATGTCTTGTAGACTACTTCCCACTTTCTCTTCTATCTGGTTCAAAGTGGTCAGATTAATGTTGA